TATCATCACACAGATTAATGCGGGCAGGGAGTAAGAAAAAAATCAAGGGAAGACAGCGTGATGGTGAGAATGAGTGAATCAAAACTGATCCTTATCCAAAAACTTTTCAGTGTATTGAAAGAAGCCAACTGCTGCAACCTGTATTTCTTATTGTACTAAGAGAAGAAATAGATAAGTGATTTTTAGGCGAGAAGCTGTAATCGGTCAAGCTCCATGTAAGCTCTATTTTCTCCCCTGCAACATAAAACTAGGGAAGTATAGAATAAGCTGAAATAGCTGACTTGTGAATAGAAGTTACAGACACGCATGTTATTTCCAGCAGAGGTATACTGAATAACCTTGAAGAAGGTATCTCATATCCAAGCTGAGAGATGCAATTTTTGTTCCTCAAGTATACACTTCTTACACAACTGGTTGACAGACGTGACTGACATTTTTGTTGCCTATTGGGCTTATCTGCCTCCATAGTTCTTTGTCCAGTCTTCTGAGGTTTGACTGTGGTCTGTGAGCTCTGTTGCAGAGGGTATATAGTTATTACTTTGATTAGGCACTTCCAAGACTTCCACTTTCAATGGAAAGCTTAAATAGGTAATAAAATGTTATCTATGCTAATTCTGTAATCTGTTAAATATAAATAATCGGTAACTTTGTCCATTAATTTGCATAAATAGCTTTATGATATGCTATGCAGAGTCATAGATTTGAACTTTTTCAAGAGAAATAATATTTTCAACAGAGGCAGTCTCAGTCATCTTAATTGAATTGAATTTATTATGACTTCTCAGACTCATATTTGCATTTTAGTTGAAGAGATGAAACCATATTACTGCCCCAAAACTGCTGAAGAGTATATGAAATGTCTCAGATCATTACTTACTATTATGAGGTCAACCTTTGCTATGTTTAATACCTGAAAGACAAAGATAAGGAGCTTCAAGAAGAGTAGTGCTAAGTCTTTTAATTAAATCAATCTGCAGTGGGTGTATCCTCCAGAAGCTGCCTGGAAGGGCTTCCACAGGTTAGGAACTGAACTAACTTAATTTATATGGAGGCAAAGAAGGGCAGTGAAGCAGCAGAGAACTCTGTGAAACCAATTGGCAGCAAGCCATCTGTTAAGCAACCACAACTACGTCAAAGTTATCTAAAAATATATCAGTTGGTTTAGGAACATAATGCCCTAACTCCCAATAAAAAGGCACTTTGAAAATAATCAAAAATGTGTTTTAAAATAAGTTGTGTTTATTCATGTAGCGATGAAATACAAGAAGAGCTGCTCTCGTAGACTTTGTTAGTAAGTCCTGAATAGTTCCGTGAAATAATTATTTAATTGTTAGTCTCTGCTTCTCCTCTCTGGTGTAGAAACTGTTTTATTTCAGTCCCATTGTCTCTCTCCCTGGTTCCCCCGCAGCCTGACACTTCTATCATGACCTGTCTTCCTTTTTGTTTCTCCTGAGTTTCTCCCTCATGTATTGTCCATCCAAGGTGCCTTGTGCAGTCTTATTGCCGTCCCGCTCACTTCATTCGCTTGCCCTTGCTCTACTCTCATTCCTGCCCTTCTTACCATCCTGCTGCTTGGATTTCCTCTCTGCAATTCTTCCTTTCTACTTAGGCTTCCTTCTTCCCTCATTCCCTTCTCCCATCTAAACTACAGACCTCTCCTTCCTTTACAACCTCCAAACTGGCCTTTCTGCGTTTCTGTCTCTCTCCTGAACCCTTGCTTTTACCTTCAGTGCTTCCCTTGCTGTGGAAACCCTCTATTCCATCTCTATCTTGTATGTGTCTGTCGTCGTTGCACTACCATCTTATGTGGGAGAAACTGGGGACACTTCTTCGCTGTCATTTTAATATTTTCTGCAAATTTACTCCAGTATTGTCCACCTACTTTTTATACAGTCATCAGCCTCAGGTTTGAGAAATCAGTGTATAGCTTCAGTCCTGATGAAGGCATCAGTGTGACAGCTCTGAATGAAATCTCCTCATCATTTTTTTCCTCTTTCTGCCCACATAGTAGTGTCGTGATCACTGTTGTAAGAGAGCCAGGGGCAACAGCCTTGATTTGTGATTGATTTTGTGCCAACACTATAGCCCCCTGCAGCAGGCAAAAGGTGGCTTATGGTGAGACTACCAAGAAAAAAATTGCCCATGAAACAAAGTTTAACAATCTTAATTCAGCCTTGCTAGAGCACTGGTAAAATGTGAAGGTGCTGAGTCACCAATTCTTTAATATTTTGCATGCAGGTGGGTGTTGGTACCAGATAGTTAACTGCTGAGCTGGACACAGATGAAAATCTAGTTTTGCCATCTCTCTTCCACCCTTCCTCCAAACCTGAAAGAAATATTAGAAAACCTGGCCCCCAGAACTTTGGTACATTGTTCGGTGAAACAAAGAGTTGTCACAGGTAGAGACAAAATATCTGCAAATCCCGCAGCACCATTATTCTCATTCATAGGTGTACAGCTATTGAAGAGTGTGCTTCCCAGTGTGATGGTGATTTCAGTTCCTGTACGCTGCACGTTTTAAGTTGTGTTATTTGAGGACATCCCAAGAGTGGACTTTCCAGTGGCTGATTTTGAGAGCAGATGTCACTGTAAAAGTTGTTTACTTAGCAGCAGCCTTTTTCGGTTACATCCATCCAGTCAGGCTGCAAAGAAGAAAACAGGAAGCATTCCCGTTTGTAGAAGTCTGCCTGCAGGAATAAATATAAGCATATATGGTTTGAAACAGGTATTTTTAGAAACTTCTATTGAGGGCTGTACTGCTGTTTGAACTTTCTGCCCTTTCAGATTTTGTTGCTTACTCTATACATTTTTAATAATCACGTTGCCTGCTAGCAGTGACATTTTGTGAAGGTCATTTTTCTTGTGAAGTTGGAGGATGGACTTGAATTTCATTGAAGGACTCCCCGAGCTGCAGGATCGTTGTTTATGGAACTCTTTTGCATCTTGTACTACCTTTGAAGGCTGTCTAGAATTTTAACTAATGATATCTTCAAAGTGTCACTGTGCTCAAGGGCAAAAAAGAAATCTCAAAATGCACTTTATATTTAAAACCAGTTTTGCTTAGCTTTGAAGCATGGTATTAGCTGAAATAAAAGGCATAGATACAGACTTACTATGTATGTACACACAGAGAATTCCATATTTCACCAACTTTTTCATTGTCAGCGAAGTCCCCTCACCATTGCAATGCCTTTTTTTCCTATACTATAAAAATCATCAGGTCTGTGGATAGTCTTAAGAATTTTTGATGTAATTGATAATCTAATACCTCAGCAGGTATCTTTAGGCAATCTCCCTCAGCCGAGAGGTTTAATTTTGTCTACATCATTCCTAGCCTGCTTCTTCTCATTTCCCCTGTGTAGAAATACAGACACGGGGTTGTACTTACATGCCTTTTCTGTTTCTGAGTAGAGGATAGCAGATACTAAAACCAACATGCTACATTTGAAATAAAAGAGGCTGTGATCTGCTACTGAATTGAAATTGCTTGGGTTTGTGTAAACCAAAGTTCCTGCTTCCCACAACTGAGCACATACCAAGTTTACTTCTTAATAGAAGATCTTAAGGTTTACTTGGTAGCTGTGTCTGATATCTTCTGATACTGACATATTCCTTTAAAACATGTTAAAAGTTAGTGGCAATGGTTGAGAATATGGCCACTTGAATATCTGTACTGTTCAGGGTTATTTTTCTTTTGTTTTATTTATTGCTTCCTCTAAGTGTTTTAGCTATATAGCTAGTATAGGACTCCTGGATCCTTCTCATAGGGATACCATTCGGTTAATTCTGTCATTTTTCTTCTCCCTGACTTTGTTTTTCTATTTGTAAACTAGGACCTTACAAAAGTACAAAGATGTGATTTATAATTTAATCTTTCCCAGAAAATAATTTGTCTGGTTTTCTTCCTTTCTATTCTTTTGCTATATCAAACTGCCAAGAAAATTTAGCTTATTCAGAGTATCCTTACATTTATGATGTGCTTTTCTATTTCTATTTTGATAGCTGTACCATCAAAGCATCGTAGTATGGCTGGATGTTTTACAATGGATTTCACAGTTTTATGAGCATTGCTAACATTTTAGCTGTGCCAAATAACTTAGAGTCTTGTTTCAGAACCTGAAACAAGATGATCCACTGAACAGCAACTACTGTGAGGGAAATGAAGAGAGGGTCGAACTCTCACCTGCCTTTGAGGTGTTATGTCCCAACTAAAGTTAGAGGTTGGGAGACTTGGGTGGATTGTGCATTTGAGAAAATTTGTGTTAGGAAGTACGGACAGAAGGTTGAGCACGTCCCAGAAAAAATCATTTTCCATCTGATTCCCTATGTAGAAAAAGGACTAAAAAGACAAGAATTTTCAGACTCTGCTTCCAGGCTTACTGATGCCCACTGCATATGGACCGCTTGTGAATAAAAGTCACCAGCCTGTTTGGAACCGCTGTTTTGCTGACATGATCAAAAGGGAAGGCCTCAGCCTCTGGCCATTATCATTACCATTTTACTATTTGCCTGCCTGCCTGCTACATGGGCTTCCCTTTGCAAATTTTTTTTTCTGTCTTCTGCACAGACCAATTCACCCTTCTCATGCCTGGGAAAATCTCAATGGGAAAATGCACATGAGATTGATGAGGAAGAGAAGGCAGTTACATTTGGTCTTCCTTTGCTTATTCCCAAACATTCTTTCCTTTTTGTTAGAGGGATTTATTGTTACTTACGTGGTATTGGTTAACATTTCCTATATAAATAGGGTCCTGACTTAACATTTTCTTTAGGAGTCTTTACAGTACAGCTAACAGTGCTTCTTCCCCACCCCTTGTCTTTCCCTATTTTATACAACCAAGAGAAAATTCTTTAACATATTTCAGTGTTGAGAATTTAGCAAGGACGTCTCTTGGCAGAAACAAAAAAAGGAGATATTCTTACCCAAATTTTAGCTGGTTTCATATTTTTCTTGTCCTTGTAATTCTTCACTCACTTTACTATTTAATCTTTGATTGCAGGCCACTAAAGAAGTAATAGAGCGAGAAGCCCCAGGGATGGCCCTGGCAATGCTGATGGGATCACTTAATGTTACTCCTCTGGGCATGCTCTCTAGGTAAGACTATTTCCTTCAAAATATGAGGTGAACTACTTCCTTAGAATTACACATTGTCATGAAATTACTGTACACAAATAACTGAAGATTGCTGTTGTTATCAAGACTAGAAGTCTTAACTTCAGAGAAGTGGCCAAATTCCAAGAATAGTAATTGTATTCTCTCATTTAATTCCCTTTCTTGTCTCCATTAGCCACTGTATCCTACTGTATTTTCTGTGCCAGGTTATTTGTAATATTGATGCATGCTGTTAAACAGCTGTCTTTTCATCCTAGAGCTGTGGCATTTCAGTGGTGAGTGAAGAATTCTTCTATATGTTGTTCATCACGTACTAAAATGCTTTGTTGAGCAAAAAAAACCCTTGATAAATACAAATGTATTGTTTTGGTATTGCTTTTATTCCAGTATCAGTAAAAGCTCTCTGAATAAGTTAAATGCTATTTTATCCCATGCTTTCAGATATAGTACTTCAACTCTAGAGTTTCATATTTCCTACTAAATAATTAGTAACTTTTTCTCTGCCTGTTGGTGTTTCTTTTTTATCAGTGACATCTCCTACTGTCCTGTATTTCTTTCCGGAGTTGATTGTTATTTTATTCCTTCAATTTACCTCGTTTTACCTATGATAGACTTAGTAATATCAATGCCTTTCATAAGTTAGTTTGTGTGTGCACATTATTTCAAGGTAACTAAGAAACAACGGCTGTTACAGGTTTTTGATTTCTCATCTCATGAGGGTATAATAAGAAAATCATTAAGAAATAGAGAAGGAACTTTCAAATCTGCAATTGTGCATTCAGATGCTTGCATTTTTAGAGGACATTTAGATATGAGGTTTAGTAATTTGACAGGGTATTCTAAAACTTTTCATATCACATAACTGAAAGGGCGACATTACTGAATCTTCAGATTCTGTCCAAATTAGTAAGTATTTTCATTTTTTTTATCTGATCTAATTTTTTATTATTATAGTGTGTGTTTATCTGAAGGGAAATGATAACAGAATACTACCACAAGGAGAGGAAAGGTTAGTTTAGCTGTTCTGTTTCTGATCAAGGAAAGGGTAGCCATTTAGATGACACTACCAAGTGATTTAGGATGTGGTATGATCAAGATGGCAGAAAGGATGTTGTAATGGTAGTGGAACCAAAATTTTGGATTGCAGCCTGATTCTTCTGTACATATAGCAAGAAAATGTCCCTTAAACTACAGCCACTTTCAGTAGTAATTGATGACAATGATGGGGGATAACATTATAAAGATACTGCATGCAATCATATTAGGACTTAAAAAATTTCCCAGTGAAAACCTTTACTTCAGGCCTAAAAGTAATCAGCATGCAAAAGTCCATTATTTTTATAACACCATTCAGATCATAAAGTTAAGTACATAAAAATTACAGAATTACAGCATTATGGTGTCTTGTGCAATCTCAGTTCTCCATGAATGTGCATGTGTGTTATGTTTACATTTTTTTGTAGAATTCCTCTGCAAATGCTTAAGATGGAGGAAGGAAATGTACTTTTCTTTGGTTTGGTTGTTCTATATGTAATCCTATGTCAGTTTTGGTGCTCCTTATTCAGAATCTTCTCTGAATGCAGACTCACTTCCTCTGGGATTTTTCTTACATCATTTGTTATTCTAAGACATAAATTGTTAATATATTTTCATAGAAAATTCTGCAAATTGACCTAGTGTTGTAATCCCCCCCTTACAATGAGAAGGCACACATTAAGAGAGGTCAAAACCACACACTAATTTTAGGTACACAGTTTGAGGAATGAAGATCCTAATTTTTTAAAGTATTTAACATTAAATGTCACTTGTCCTAAGCTTACCTCTCATTGACTTGATTTGGAAATGAAGTTCTGATGGATAATTTTGCATGTAATTCTTTGACTTTTCAAAAAAAACAAAAGCGTAAGTTCCATTATGCAACATCAAGCTGACACTTCTATAAATCACCTCCAAGTTTGGAAATGTTAGGTCAATCATGTTGAAATTTTATCACAGGAACTTTTAAAAAATTGTTATGAATTATAGGCTGTCTTGCTGACTATGGCCCAGCGTTAGGAGCTGGTGAGGTTTTTTGTAGACTGGATTCACAGATACTTATAGGCAAATGAGGGGCAGTGAAACTCTCATAGTTCGGATTCAGTCCCAAAGTCCAGCAGGGAGTATCTTAGAACATCATAGACCTTTTTATGTGTTTCCTGAAAGCGTTTCCATTTCTGCTCTGTGACCTTCCAAAACTGTCCCTGTCCCAGAATTATTTCTTCCCTTCACCTGATTCCTTACCTGTCAACTATCAATGCCGTGCCAGTCTTTGTTAAGGCTTTTAAAAACACTCTCAGTCTCCTTGCCCATCTGTTATGCTTTTACCAGCTTAATTTCTTCCCAGGGAGATCATGTTGTGGTTTTCTCCCCAAAGAGATCATCATCTCTATTCCTACTTCTGCATCAGACCTGTATTTCTTTCCTCCAACATCCATTTTTTTTTCTCCCGCGTCCTATATTTCTTCCACTCCCTTGCTTCCGTTTGTATTCGTTCTCCAACGTCTTTGTGTTTTCTTAAAATTTCTGTCCACTACATTACAAGGTTGAGGATAATATGAGATCCACAGCATCTCCCTCAACTGTTCTCCATTTGGAGGAATATCATTAATTTATCTCTCAAATTACCCGGAATGCATGTGCGTTTTGTGTGCTTCTATGTTGTGAGCACACAATATTTTTTGCAAGCCATGCAGTTCTTGGGTACTTTTACTTACTTTTGCATGGTCTCTTCAGAAATTTTTGGCAGCTCCATTTCTGTCTGGAGCCACTAGATGTGATTATTGGCAGCCGAAAGTTGTAGCTTTCAGGAGAATGGCTGCTGGTTTAGTCCTTTTTTATTATTGGTTGGTGGTACTGGTCATTTAGCTTATACTGTTCAAAATTATTTAAAGGAGAATAAAAGAGACAAGAAGAAGATTATTAAAGGAGCTATCTGCCAAACACAATTCCACCTGCTTTTAACTTTTTTGTGGATAATTCCCATTTCCTTTATTTTGGATCTGTCATGAACTGTATCCCACGTATGGGAATTGCTGGACTGAGTTAGTAAGTTTGACTACTGCAACTAGAGTAAATGAGCACATTTCTTTAACTTGCGCTCTTCATCTTTATATTGCAATAGAGAATTCCTCAACTACCTGGAATTCTTTCTTAACTGAGGGTATATAGTGTGCAAGAAGTGAACATGGGAAAACACAGGCGAGGAGTCAGGCAATATTCAAGCTCCCAGTTGAAAATAGGACTTCTCTTCAGGCTGGCTCAACTGTGATATCAAAAGTTCATTTTGTGGCACAAAATCAGTCTCTGTACTATTTAGTTGTGAGCATTATGACAGCTGTCACTAAAACACAAAATGCCATGCTACCAATAAATGACATGAATCACTGAGAATTATTTGTGTAAGAAGGAATCCAGGGAAGTTGGCTACCTCACAAACCATGTCCTTTGGCTCAAAAGTTTTGGTAATGCCCTGTCAAGAAATTGTTTTCTTTTCTATTCTGTATCTGCTTATGACTCATAATTTTGTTTGATAAAGAGATTATTACACAATTTATCTCAACTGTAGCTTCTGTATCTTTGTGGTTTGGTTTTGTCCTTTTACTTTTCTCTTATGCTTATATCCCAGCCCTGGGTTTTTCACCACTGGTTTCGTGAACAGTGGAGAAAAGCAGGAGGCACTCTTTACAACTCCAAGACAAAATTGAGTAAAATTAATTTTTTTTTCCTGAAAAATATTTAGCTAAAAAGAGGAAGAGGCAAACTCTAAACAACAGAAAGCATTCAGCGCATGGGTGTCTAAGTTCAGCTCTGCATCAAGACCAAAGGAATTCCCTAAAGACAAAAAATAAAATCTTCCATCTTTGATAGTTGGTTTCGTCTTTTTTTGAGGGGGAAGGAAAGACTGTTACGAACAATTAAATATGAATTGCATAACTGCAATTTTCCCTTGAGAATTACTTCCCTCTGTGTTTTTCTTATGTTGCATCTTTAAAAAAATAGAAGACATACTTGAATTAATGTGACCAGCGTAATTTCTATTTTTACCTGGCAAGGGAAATAGTGTTTGGCGCCATCAGTTATGTTACAAAGGAACCATGTGTATGATCAAATAGGGACTATATCAAAGAATGTATTGGATGCAAGTAAACAATAGAATTAAGGGAGCCACACACATCTAAAAAAGATGGAAATCTAGCCACTGTTTATACTATCAATTAAATGTTAGATTCTGTCAGCCTTGTTTGATGCTTTTTCAGTTCAGCTTCTCCTGAGCAGACATTTGTAGATGTTGGAAATTGAGTTTACAATTTCTGATAAATAATAGAATTTATCTTAAATGCTCTCTTCTTGTTTCTACAGTGGAGAAAGTTGCGTGCAAGAATTTTACTCTGGGTTTCTTTCTTTTCAGACCTGTGTGTGGAATCAGAGGGAAAACTCTCATAATTAATCTGCCAGGTAGCAAGAAAGGGTCACAGGTAAGAAGTGTTCTTACTGATCTGCTGCTGAGGACCCATGATGAGTGCCTCCCATTGTTCTGAATGGTAGAAAGTACCCACTGCAACAAATTTTACAAAAGTTACTTGAAATTCATATATAACCGTTCATATAATTCATGTAACTGAATGCACCATCACTTTCAGTCAGGGGTGGTACAGTTCTGATCTGATTGTACTGAAGGTACTGTGTGACCAGGACAGCAATACGTGTAGTGCAAGAGAGCGCTCACTATAGCAGGCGGTGCTAATGAAGAGACTAATGGGCTCTTACGCTTTCTCCCCCTTCTCAAGTCAGCCTGTACCTGATCCCTGTGTTGCTTACAGCTTCCAAGGAAGCGCTCTTTTTCACACAGAAGTTAGAGGAAGCCCTAGTGTGTGGTAGGACTTACCGGAATATGAAGAATATTCCCAATTTTGGTCAGCAAGAGGGGAAAAAAAGGAACATGATTTTTTAAGAGTTTGAGGATTTTTTAAATCTTTTGGATATGGGTTTCACACTTTACACTCTTTATACAGTTTGTTTTCTTCCTGCATTTTTCTCAGTTTGGACAGGGAAGTTAGACTTTGTGTTTTTATTCATGCTTACTCTCTGACTGTAGAGATGAAACACAATTAAACATCAGGGGGAATTTTGTGTGTGTGTGTGTCAATAAGGCTAGATCTTTCCAGTTCTGTTTCTTTCTGTGTGGTTGGCTGATCCAGAAAAACATCCTTCTCCACACAAATACTGCTAAGCTGAATAGTGGGCTGTACTACCTGATACAAAACTGCTAAGGTAGATCCCCCATCAGTCACGAGAACGTATTTCTCCAGGGCTCAGACTATGTTAGCAGCCTTGTTAAAAAATGTCTACCTCTGGCCTCTAACAAATGCGTACCTGGTAGTTTATCAATGTCTTCTGAACCAGTAGTACCCAATCACAGTACTAATGTGTTTGGCAGCACAGCCCTGAAGTCACTGTTGCTTGAAAGACTTATGTCTGGAGATAAATAAAGAATGTTTATGTGGGCTGTCACCTGGAAGTTGAAGAGGAAATGTTTTGAAGACTATTATCTTAAGCCATCACAGGTTTTCAGATACATTGTCTACATGTTTCAGTTCAAGGATTCAGTAAGCCCTCTTATAATTCTACCATTCCTTAGAGCCTGTTTAGGAAATCTAATGAGACTCTGTAATTGAAAAGGAATTTAAAAGCCTTCAAAACATACAACAAGCATTGGAGGGTTGTGGGGCAGGAGAATACCTACTTGAAAGCCTTCCAATTATGAGTGGGAAGTCATATATATTTAACATAACAGTGAGCCCCACGTCTCAGAGAACTGGTGCACCGGTAACAAGATATTTTTTCAGAAGTCTGTACTTTTTTGTTGAATTATGAGAGAGATGAAATAGCCTACAATCTCTAATGGTTTTGGTTGTATTCAGTAACACTCCTAACATGCTCAGTACAGAAAAATATTGTCATTTTCTGCCCTGAGGCACTCAGACTCTGAAGACAGGTAAATTGTAGAAAGAGGATGAGGAAAAGAAATGGAAAAATGTTAATAAGTATTTTAACAATAGTTTGGTATAAAGTAAGTAATAAAAAAGGTAATTTTGCTGGAAAAGAAAAAAACATCATATGATTTCATTATAAAAGCAAGCTTTTTATAAACTGATTTATTTGTTCCTGTCATGATAGTACTCTGTTCTGTCACAATTTATTTTAATATAAAGCATCTTTCAAGTATCAGATTTCAGCAAAGATTTTTAAGATGAGTGGTAGAGGAAATTGTTCCATAACAGGCTAGATCTCAAGAACCAAATAGGACGGGTTGTTACCAGGAATTTATCATTTCTCTCTTTTATAACTTGCTAATTTCCTTTCCATCATATTAATACAATCATTTAAGAAGCTTATATAAAGCTATGAAATTGCAGCAGTGTACGTACCTTATTATTAAAATATGAATAGAAAATGGCAGCAGTGTAAATGCTCCATCTCAAAAATGGACACAAAGCCAAACGTGTTTTGTCCAGAGAACGTTTGTGTGGCATGTACCACTGAATCAAGATCTGTAAAATGCTTCAATTTTTGTGATGTTCTGGTCTTTTTTCTTTTCTTTTAGCCTTGCAAAAGGTATTTAAAGTTATGAAAGAGGGCAAAGTGTGAAATTACCAGACGCTCATTGAAATCATTGAGTCTATGGCGATTTTCATAACTGTAGTAACGATTGCCTAAAACAATGAGTCTTACAAATAGCATGTGCTTTTAGAGTACTTACTGGAACCTGTTCGTCAACAGTCAAGCCAACAAGGCTTTATTTCAGTGGCAGGAGTGGGGGACATGCTTCTCTAATGAGTTAATCGTTAATGTACCTTTTCATGATTATTGGTCAGTTCACAGATTGTTGTCCTTGTGTACCACTTACCTGAGGTCTGCGGTTTTACTGAATTGATGATGCTTGCATGCTTCAGCATTTTAAACCATTTTAAAAATAAAACTGTGGAGGCACAATAACTCTGAGGTTTGCAGTTACAGTAGAAGTTGTAATTCTTTATTAGGTTTACAAATATATTTTAAAATTTATTCATTATATACAGTGTCTTATGTTCATCCAGTTCACTTCAGTTCTTTAGAATGCCAAATTGAATATTTAAAGAATTTATAAATCTATGAAGTAGTCTAACTTTATTACTCTTAAAGGAGCGACTGAAAGATGGGTTCTGACTTAGAAGCTTTGAGGAAACACTGTGTTTGTGACTCATGTTTTTGACTTACAAAGTGGCTCAGATAAACTCTAGTTCTGATGGATGGTTTGCTCTTTATTTTCTTTGCACAGTCATTTTTATTTATTGAAAATATTTGTTACAGTATCTATTTACAAAATGTCTATCATTTGTTTTCTGGATATTCTAAAACGTTGGAATACATTTTTAACAATCTTCCTTATGCTTGAAACAAAACCAAAAATGAAGTGCAACAAAAGGAATAATGTCAGCTTTCTCTGTCAGCTCGTATGTTCCCTAACTGCACTGCCATGGCAATTCATTCTTGTGACCCTGCTATCATTTTCCAGTAATTTAATGTTTATATGCTTTGCTCAAATGACACAAAGAAAACTCTTTACTGAGGTGCCTGAGAGAAGGATGAGAGACAATAGTCATAAATTGAAGAAGGTAGCTTCCAGCTGGATAAAAAGAAAAGAAAAAAAAAATCACTTTGAGGGTAACTAAGCGTTAGAACAGGTTGTCGAGAACGGTTGTGTAGTTTCTGTTCTTGGATTTTTTCAGGATTTTACTGAACAAAGCTCTAAGCAACCTGTCTGAATTCCGTAGTGACCTTGATCTGAGCAGGAGGCTGCAGTGCATGATGTCCTGAAGTTCCTCTTTGATTTGGTTAAATACTAGCATATTTTAACGGTAGAGGTAGCTGTATATGTATATGTCCATTATGGAACAAGAACAGTTACACGGCATCTGCATTTTTGCTTTCTCCAGCCATGTAAAATAAACTTCCTAATTTTTTTAAGATCATAGAACAAGAAGAGGTTTGAACAGTAGATTATTTACGAAAAATTTTTTCTGAGTTACATAAAATTGTAACGACATCAGTGTAGTTTGTCATTCTTCCAGTATATAGGATAAGTCCATGAATAAAAAAGGATATAATTATATAAAAGTACAATTATGGAAACCCTGATGAATTGTTCTCTAATTGTGAAGGAACATAATAAGAATGATTTGAAGCTAATATCCCCACGGGGATAGGGTTAATGTTTTTATTCTGCATTTTTGTAGCATTCTGCCCACTGCTGTGAACTGGTTTCTATATTAGGTATTCAAGAAAATTTAACTGTTGTTTTCCAAAATTTTAATCCAATATTAGCTTAATTACAGTAGCCCTGTTGTACAACTTAGTATATTTGTATGAAAAAAGGCAAAAATACGTATTATAGTCCCCAGTTTTGGTTCTGATTTTGGTTTTTTTACCCTCTATGAACACTTGTATAGGGCATTTAAGGTTTTATTTATGATCAGGTGAAAAGATACATCTAAGTCCTGAATATCTTCTAAGAGTAAATCTGAAAAAAATCCTTATTTACTTCTGCAGTAGCTTTTCATAGTCATTTCTCTTCTTGTTGTGCATAGGAATGCTTTCAGTTTATACTGCCAGCCCTACCTCACGCCATTGATCTTTTGCGGGATGCCATTGTAAAAGTAAAGGAGGTACACGATGAGCTTGAAGATCTACCTTCACCACCGCCTCCTCTTTCTCCTCCTCCGACCACCAGCCCTCACAAGCAGACAGAAGACAAAGGAGTACAATGTGAGGAAGAGGAGGAAGAGAAGAAGGATAGCGGAGTTGCCTCAACAGAGGATAGTTCTTCTTCACATATAACGGCAGCAGCCATTGCAGCTAAGGTGAGTCTGGCTTGTATCCCTAAGAGACCCTTTAGTTTCTTTCTCGGGTACTTTCCACCAATATTTACTTGCATATTAAGACTATGCACTGATGTCTGTGTGGTCAAACAGATGTATTTTAGGTACGTTTTGTATAGCTTCATAAAAATACATTAATCCTGTTTTGGTAGGTGATCTCAAATTTCAGTGGGAGATATGTATTGTTTATTATCTTAACAATAACATGCATTTTTATATCATTCTGATGGGACAGATTATTTTTAGTGGTTTTTTTTTAATTCAAAGTACTCACACATCTGAACATGCAAAGTCCAGTAGGTGGCATATTAAGGAATCGCAACAAAATTTTCTAAGCCATAGTATCTATTTTGAAAAGAAAATGTCAGTTTCTGAAAACATTGCTGAAAAGTATGACAGAGAAGTAGCAGGTTAAGTAATAAGCTATCCAGACCACTGTATTCCAGTGTGCATGTCTGCATAAGAGATGTGGAATTCTGCTGCAAAATTAAGTGTCATCACATTGTCTTTATAGCCTTGCTTTAGCCAGTAATTATAGATCAGCATTACTCAAACCAAAATAATGAATTTGAGACTACAAAAGGAAAAAACTAGGTAATGCTGGCAAATTATTTCAGTTCAAATTTTAAATGTTTTCGAAAGAAATGTCATTATTTGAAGCAATATAGAAATATTTACCTCGGGTTTATGTCATCAGTTTTCAAATGGAAAGACAATGTATTCCTATGTGTTTGGAAAGGGGTTTTTCCAAACTGCTTTGTTCTATATTTACTCCACAAATTGTACTTTTAATTCCTATTGTGGGAATTGAAAGTCTAGCTCACTCAAAATTATATTAAATAATTTCTAAACCAAAGCAGCAACATTCTAACTCCAGAAATGTGAATTCAGGTCTGAGGCATCTTGACATTTCTAAGACAGCTGCAGCTGGAGATCTTCTCCTCATGTACAGAAAATCCTGATTACGTATATCTGTACAGGGATGCTTTAAGGTAATTATCACTTGCAAGTTTCAGTTTATATTAATGCAAATTTCAAATTGATTAATTTCTTTTGATACAGGCAAAGATAAATAATATGTGCAATTTTTAAAGGCAGAAAAATACTTGAGATCTAAACTGGCTGTGTTCATATGAGCTTGGCATTTCAGTGTCACGTTTGTTTTCACCCCATTCCCTTTCAGTCATTTGCTTGTATAGTTTCATGTTTTCCTGTCACTGTATTCATAGCTGTTATGTGTTGTGCATTAGAAGCATCCATCCTACACCAATTCAGCTGTTATCATGGCAAAAGGTGAACAGCCCATCCCTGGTCTCATCAGTTATTGCCATCACGCAGCAGGCAGTGCAGGAGAACCGGTAAGAGATATTTCCAAGAGGCTTTTGCACTAACAGTAGCTAAAAATATGCTGCCTGCCTCCTAGTCTATTGTGTGAACAGACAGTGTTATTTATTTTCTTCTAACAAAGACACATCAGTGCTATCTTTTAGAGAGCAAGCTACAGAAAATATTCTCTTTAAGATACAGGGCTAAACAAGGTAAAGTTCGTGTGCATTGTCAGTTTGAATCATTTGGCTGCTGAGATGATCATTGCTGTAAAGCCTCTTTCTGATTAGTCATTGGCTTTATTATCTAATATACTCATAATTTAATATAATTAAAATAATCTCCTAAAATGACTGCTTCAGAGCTATGAAATTTTTGGTAACTTTTTCCCTTTTGTTCGCCTTGCTTTGCTTTTTACTCTCAATAGTTGGTTTGTCAACATAATACAGCACTGGGTGTTCATAGTTTGCTTTCATCACTTGCAGTTTCTCCCTTATTTTTGTATTCTGTTGAGAAATAGAATTTCTCAAAAACAGAAGAAAAGACTTGAGGAGTCAGGACACAGTGGACTTACTATAAATTACTGGATTTTAGTGAATAGTAGGCAGCTATTTCAATGAATGGTAGAAAGGACTTAGTTTAGTATAATGCAGAGGTTATAACTTCGGCTCTAGCAATACTATACTTTGTTTTCCATCTCCCAAAGGTTTAGTTTAGGCTTGAATCAAGATAGAATAATGGTTACTGTATCATCAGGAATGAAAAATAACTTACTGTATTAATAACTATGTTAATAATGTTAGAGAAACCTAAGGAAGGCAGTTGGCCTATAAAGAGTTGTGCTGTCTGACCCGTTCATTCCATGTCAGATGGCAAATAGGGTGTAAGTTCTTGCGAAAATGTGTCGCTGGATTTGATGACCAGAGGTTGCACTTTCTTGTTCCCTTAGGCAAACAGTAATTTAAACCATTGATTGAATAGTGTAACTCCTATGTATTTAAAACATGATGACCATGTCTCTTGAAAAGTCACAGGAAATACGAAGGCTTTGAAGTTCACACACCTGACAATAAATCCATATATGAGTGCATATAAACATACACACACATTTATTCCAATAGTTTCTTTTTTTTGAGTTGAGGTTACTAAACTAGAATTTGCACCATATTCTTCAGTATCAGTAAAACAATGAATTCAACCTCTCTGAAGCACGCTGTTAAGCTGTCATTCAGGCTTCTGTGCCCTTTTGCAAATTACTCTTGAGCTATTGTTTTATGTATTCTATAATCCAAATCAGATCTTCAAACTCAGAGCGGGAAGTGGCTAGTTTTTCAGAAGGTTGTTGGGCTTTTTAAGCTGTCCTTTCTCTTTGTTTTTAAGACACTTTTGTTCTTTTATAGCAATCATAGTTATTACCATCTACAGCTTGTTTCCTAAGTACCTTGCCAGCACTGTCAATCTTTGTTCCAGTCCCGGGCAAAAGAATGAAGAGCTCGTATCTTTTCATTTCCCCCCTTCTTATCAACACTTAGTTCTCTAATCTGAAAACACAAATATTTAAACCAATATAAAAGTACTTCTGGAAAAGGTCGTATCAGGTAAAAATTGTAGAATCAATGACTGATAGATATGATGGGTACTTTTCTCTGTTACACACACACACAGAGAATGGCAAGGGTTGGAAGGGACCTTGGGAGATCATCTAGTCCGCTTCATTCATTTCTCATTAATTTCTTCATCCATCGGTATGTTACAACAGGTGTTCCACTCCAGCTAGTACAAACAGAAACTATTTTCACTGAACTTACAGTCTTATTGTACCCCACTGAGGGTTTTGAGGCCTCTACCCTCTATTAATTTTTTTGAAACTGCCAAATGAATTGAAGAATTTTAGAGGGAGACATCATAAATACTCAGAGTGTGACGTTGTGAAAGTTTTTAAAAAAAAAAATCTATCTGAGGGAACTGGGGTAATTTAGTCTGGAGAAGAGGAGGCTCAGGGGAGACCTTATCACTTTCTACAGTTACCTGACAGGAGGGTGTAGCAAAGTGGGTGTTGGTCTCTTCTCCCAGGTAACAAGCAATAGGACAAGAGAAGATGGCCTCAAGTTGTGTCAGGGGAGGTTTAGATTAGATATTAGGAAAAATTTCTTTACTTAAAGAGTGGTGAAGCATTGGAACAGGCTGCCCAGACAGGGGTGGAGTCACCATCCCTCATCGTGTTCAAGAAACGTGTAGATGTGGCACTTTGGGACATGGTTTAGTAGGCATGGTGGTGTTGGGTTGCCAGTTGGACTTGATGATCTTGGAGGTCTTTTCCAACCTTAATGATTCTATAATTATATCCAAAATGTAACAATATTCCTGCCCTTCCTTATTGTAGATTTCCAGGCTTCAGGAAACACAGAAATTTCTCATGCTTTATCAACCTCTTTAACAGGGTAAACAAGAAGTTGCCTTGAGTAGAGACCTAGATTTCCTAAATTCAATTTTAAAAGGAAAAAAAACTTATTAAATGTAGGTGAGAAAAATGAGATGTTCCCCATATCACATAACATATATGCATAGAAGTACCAATCATATTCTGTTGTCCCTTTCACTTAATAGACATTAAATATCCATTATATTTTTATATATTTATTTTTATGCAGTATTAGCACCTTCTCTGAAATCAGCAGGTTAAAGTGATTTAAAGGGAAAGTTAATGCTGGTTTTAGCAATACAATAGATTCCACTGTCATATTAGAGAAATAAACCTCTTGAGAGCAAAATTTGTAACTGTGAACTAAATTCTCTCAGTGAGATTTTGTGTCTGCAAAAGTTAGCAAGCTGAAACTTAGAGTTCTAGATAGGTTTATATATGGATTGGTTTATGGCAGTTGTATTTTCTGGAAAGTAGTGATTAGGGAATAATTCTCGTTGAAATGAAATGCCTGTAGTCATCTTTTCCCTTTACCTTCAGCTTCCTTTTCTGATTAATGTCCTGGCTGAAATTTTACTTAAATTTTAATTTTATCACAGGCAAAAATTAGTATTTCACATGCAGTTCAATGGAGACTGGAATTGTCTCAGTCACTTCATTGCAGAA